CCCCAAAACCCCAAAACCCCAAAACCCCTTGGTTGAAAATTTTGAGTAATCAAGCATGTGGTATTATTAAAATATGGAATGATACATATTATCAACCTGATATTATAGACTGGGTAGATAATCTATATTGAGGCTTGACTTAAAGATAATTACTGTCAACTAATTTAATTTAATATTTAAGTCTTTAATGATCTCGTCTTTGGAGACATCTTCATCACTTTCGAAGCTGTTCGATACTGATTTTGAAATGCATCGTCAGTCATTGTCATTTGCTGGCATATCATTAACAAAGGACAAAGGAATATTGGCAATTATTGGCATAATTTTTGTTTGTAGATGCACTATCGCTTCAATTATTGATTAATGTTCACCTACAATACACGAGAATATAATGAAGGCCATGTTAGTCATGATTATATTATTTTTGTACTTGGTACACAAATATTTTGGATCATATAAGAAATTCATTCATATTCTAGCGGTCCCATTCATATTGGCTGTTGTTGTTAAAAAGCATTTTGATGTAGAGGCAAGTACTTTCCATTTAGGAGAATGCTTTTGTACCTTTCTCCTGATAACTGTGTTTTCTAGTCTAAACAGTCCCCTTTAATACTATACTGTTCAATTAATTAATATCTTGTGCATAGGCACCTTCTATGTGACTATGATAGTTAGATACGGGATACATTAGATTGGATTTGAATTCTACTACAACATGACTCTCTCACTTGCACTAATAGCTTTCATTCATAGATAAAAAGATTCTTTATTAAAATCTAATTTCATTAATACTTCCTTATCCTAAATGAGGGAAAGAAAATGGAAAAGCATCCTGTCTTAACTTACTGAGGGAGTATTAATTCTAGAAAAGAGAGAGAAGTATGATTAAATAAGAGTATTTTTTAGTAATGCTTCACTTAGCTAAATAGCCTAAATTCAACCAAGAAATCAAGGATTAAGTAAAGAATTCTTAGAGCAAAATTATATTCTAGAAAATCAAGGATCATCCTCTAAGAAGAAATAAGCAGGTAGAAAATTTTCTGATTAGAGTAATGGCTCAATTGAATATAAACTTGATTAAATATTTCAAGATGTTCATTTTTAGTATGCTTTTAACTCTCCTGTCATAAAAGAAGGTATTAAGCATAGATCCTCTTTGAAATTATAAGATCATCTCATTCAATTATATGAGGAGTTCTCAGACTCACCAACAGGTACATAATTCAAAGAATTCATTAAAATTAGTAGTTCAAGAAGAGTACTAGAGTTATAAATCTAAAAAATAGAAGATGACAAAGAATAAGTATTGTTCTTATTCAAAGAGGTCTCATCTTATAAAAGATTGTAATTTACTAAGACAAAAGAAAAATTTACTAACCTATTTTTGAATACTACTGCTCACAATCTTTTTACTCCGATAAATGGTATGATTGGTGTTTCTTAGATGCTTGAGAAAGAGATAGAAACTAACTAATAAGCATTAAAATACATCTCTATGATTAACAATTGTTTATCAGGATTGGTATTTACTGTCCATAACATAATGGAACTTTCTAAAATCAGATTAAATAATTTTAAGACAGTTCCTAAGTATATTAACATTTATGACAAAATAAACAATATTTTGGAAATTCTAGAAGACTAAATTAATTAAAAAAATCTAAGAATAGACAATTAATGTACTGATATTCTCATTAATACCGAAATTGAGATCGATGAGCCTAGATTTGGATTAGTCCTCTATAATATATTGAGCAATAGTGTAAAATATACTAGACCAAACGATCAAATAATTATTCGAGCAAAATTAGTAAGATATCATGAAATGGTTTTAGAAAAAGAAGCTATAAGATAATAGTAAGAGTATGGAAGCTCAGTTGTAACAAATAGTGATGCTTCTCTATCAGTGGCATCAACTGTGAAAGACCCTATCAGAGAATCAGCAGAATACCTTAAAGTAACAATTAGAGATACTGGTCTTGGTATGAAAGATGATGTAATTAAAGGTTTGTTTGAACTTTTTGGAAATTGTAAGATGAGCAATAACGTAAATTAGTAAGGAATCGGACTTGGATTAACAGTTTCAAATCAAATTTGTAAATAACTAGGCGGTAGTCTCTTCATTGAATCATCAGAACCAAAAAAGGGTTCGAAATTCACATTCTACATACCTATCCAACTATACAATCATTTGCAGTCATCGTTCAGCAATTTTAACAAAATAAATTCATTCAGATCAAACAGCGGAAGTATACCAATGAGTATTAATAGTGGGTACTTTAATTCGAGATAAGAATCTAAAATAATACATCGACAAAATCTAAGTTCATAGGTTTTTAACACTGAGCCATCATATAAAAATTAGCAAACTTATCCATTTAAACCTGCAAAGAAGAAGTCAAACAAAAGTTAATTCTGCAAGTTAGAAGTAGATTATGACAATATAGAGTCAGATGATTCATTAGAAAATTAGGCATTACAAGAATCTATTTTAGTAAACCTGGAAAGTGATGAGGAAGAAAACAAAACTTAGTGTTAGCTATTCCAGGTTGACTCTGATGCTTAAATATGATCTATGAGAGAGCTTAAGAATCCATTTGCTTCATTTTCCTCATCTAATAACCCACAAATTCATACAGAAGATGAACTTTTCTTTCCTGATTCTCCACTTGTCAAAGGAAAATCATTTGAAAACTATAATACTCAAAAACTGCCAAATTAAAGTTCATTAGTATTGTAATAGTTAGAGGATAACATTGAAGTGTTAATAGTTGATGATACAAATTTCAACTTGGAAGTGCTGTAAATGATGCTTTAGTCTTAATTTAACCTCATGAGTGAAATAGCGTTTTCAGGCGAAGAAGCACTTTAGAAAATATAGGAGAGAGTTTTCAATAATAACTTGCCCTGCTACAAACTTATAATAATGGATATCAATATGCCAGGGATGGACGGAGTTACTTGCACCTAATAAATAAGAAAATTTCTATTAGAAAGCTATGAAAATTTGGAAGATCCATACATTGTAGCTCATACTGCTATTACTTAAGATTAATTTGGTGACTATAGGAGTAAAGGTTTCGACGATTTCTTATGTAAGCCAGTCTTTTACACCAAGCTAGAATAAATAGTAAATGTCTCACTCTATCAAAATAGTGGTAGCAAACATTACAGATCGTGAAAGAATTTCAGAAGCAAAGCTATGGAGATAATAATAGAGGATACTGGGGATTATTGATGGAGACAAATAGTTTATATAATAATTACTTAGTTGATAATTGAGGTACTTGCTTTAGAATTTTACATATTGATAGTTGGATAATCTTCTTATCGTTCATCAAATTAACATATAGATAGCTTTATACTACTTTAATACACTATTATTTAATTAATTATAATTTAAACATTTCAATATTTATTCAGATTCATTATTTGTTGGGGGTTTTGGGGTTTTGGGG